ACTTACAGATAGTTTGGGTAGCATGTTGAATGACCCAGGAAGTATCAAAAGAAGATGGAAGGAGTACACAGAGTCACTGTATCAGAAGGACTTGGCTGACACAGAGGGATTTCATGAAATAACATATGAGCAAGAGCCTATGGTGATGAAGGAGGAAGTTCAAATTGCTCTGAAGGAATTGGCAAAAAACAAGGCTCCAGGAGTTGCTGGCATACCAACTGACATATTTAAACAGACAGACCACTGCCCTGGATGTGCTAAGTTGTGCCAAGAAATTTGGAGGACAGCCAGCTGGCCAACTGACTGGAAGAGAGCAATATTTATTCCCATTCCAAAGAAAAGTGGTCCAACAGAGTGCGGAAATTATCGAACAATATCAGTAATATCACATAAAAGCAAGATTCTGTTGAAAATTATCCAAAAAACATTTGGAACAATATGTCAACGGAGACCTGCCAGATGTGTAGGCTGGATTTAGAAGAGGTCATGGTACTAGGGATATTATAGCTAATGTTAGATGGATCTTGGCAGAAAGCAGAGAATACTAGAAGAATGTATATCTGTGCTTCATTGACTATGCAAAGGCTTTTGACTGTGTGGATCACAACAAGCTATGGCTGACACTGAGAAGAATTTGATTGTGCTAATGTGAAACCTATACTTGGACCAAGAGGCAGTCATCAGAACAGAGCAGAGAGATACTGGATGGTTCAAAATCAAGAAAGGGGTCCATCAGGGATGTATTCTGTCTCCATACCTTTTCAATCTGTATGCAGAACAGATCATCCGAGAGGCTGGGCTGCACGAGGAGGAATGTGGCATCAGGACTGGTGGAAGAATCATCAACAACCTGCATTATGCAGATGACACAACCCTGCTTACTGAAACTGAGGAGGACCTGAAGCACTTGCTGCAGAAAGTCAAGGACTGCAGTCTTCAATATGGATTGAAGCTCAATATCAAGAAAACAAAGATTTTCACCACTGGGCCTATTGGCAGCATCAGTATGGATGGTGAAGAGATTGAAATAGTTAACAGTTTTAGTTTGCTTGGCTCCACAGTCAACACGCTTGGTAGCAGCAGCCAGAAAATCAAGAGATGAATTGCACTGGATAAGTCAGTTGTGAGGTTACCTCCCAAAAGTACTGAAGAGCAACAACATCAGGCTGGAGACAAAGGTGCGCCTGATCCAGGCTATAATGCATCGGAGAGTTGGACAGTGAATAAGGATGCTAGAAGGAGAATTGATGCCTTTGAGCTGTGGTGCTGGGGAAGAGTGTTGAATATACCATGGACTGCTAGGAGAACAGTTTTGTCCTGGAGAGAGTGAAGGCAGAATGCTCCTTGGAGTCAAGGATTCTGAAGCTTCGTCTGACATACTTTGGGCATGTTGCAAGGAGGGACTGGTCCTTGGAGAGGGGCATCATGTTTGGGAGAGTAGAGGGACAGCACAGAAGAGGAAGACCCTCAATGACATGGATCGATTCTGTGACTGGAGTGGTGAGAATGAGTGTGTTTGAGATGGTGAGGTTGGCACAGGATAGAATGGTGTTTGGGGCTCTTGTACATATAGGGTCACTGTGAGTCGTAAGCGACTCGGTGGCACAGAACAACAACAACAACAACAACAACAACAGGAAAGGAAATTCCTTCCACAGCAAGAGAGCATTGTCTAATGTCCTCTGTCACTAACCCAACCTTTCTAAGGCTGCTATTGGCTGGGATGCTGCCTAGGAATTTGTCCAGAGCACAGGGCCTCCCAGGGGGTCAAGGAACTAACTGCTAGTGTTTGCTAGGGAAATGCTGAAGATGGTTAATGATAAACAATCCTACTTGCTATTTCTCTTCTCACAGAACAGCCAATCTCAAAGTCCTTGGCTTCTACTGCACTAAAGTATTATTGTTATTAGGGATGCTGCTGGCTGTACTTACAGGAAGCACAGGACACTGACAGTGTAACCCTCAAGTCAGGGCTGGCCCTGTCTGACTCCTGACAACCCAATCCCCGAAGCTCTTGAGGGCTTTGCTTGACCCCATCTGTATACAAAGGTGGGATCTCTGGGTGGTTCAATGCTTAGCACACTTAGGTGTTAACAGAAAAGCTGGGGGTTCAAGTCTACTCAGCGGTGCCTCAGAAGAAAATCCTGGTGACCTCCTTCCACAGCCATTGAAAGCCCTCTACTCTGACCCGTGTGGGTCACCATGAGCCTCAATCAACTATACTGCTGCTGCTTAACTGGTGAGAAGCTGCTGTCTGTGGCTGTGTCTGGAGCAGATCTCCATTCTTGTTGTTAAGTGCTGTCCTGTTGACTATAAACACCAGCTCACCCCAACCCTGCCCTGAACATCCTCATCCCTGAGACGCTCAAGCCTGTTGTCAGAGTCACTGTGTCAATCCAGCTCATTGAGAAGCTTCTTTTCTTCCTCTGACCCTCCACTTTTCCAGCATGATGTCCTTTTCCAAGGCCTGGTCCCTCCTGACAACATGCCCACAGTCTATGAGATGCAGTTTCACCATCCTTGCCTCTAAGGAGCATCCTGGTTGCACTTTCCTCCAAGACTTTCATCTTTCTTCCCTTAAACTTTTGGTGTCTTCTTGGTTTCATGCAACTGTGAAGGGAGCAGTCCCCCCACTATGCTAAGCAAGTATTAGGGAACTTTCAGAGGATTGACAGAAGTTTTTCTTTCTACACAGAATTGGTCTCAGAGAAACGTGATAGGTAAATTCACAAAGGGAACAAGAAGATTCCAAAGATGACAGGATCCTAGCCTACAATCCCCTTTCTTTGCAGGTCTGATATTATTAGTCTACCTTGCATGGATTGGACATTCCCCAGCGAGCTTACTGATACACACAAGTACCCTGACTCTGAGAGGAACTCGAAAAAAAAAATCAGGGCACAGTAGGCAGAAGATGTCTGGAGTCCTGCCTTAGTTCCACACCAGCCTGAAGTTCAAGGCCAAGTCCATGTCTCAAGCTGAATGTCTCCCGAGTCCAACACCCTCAACAAGGTAGGCGGCTCTGAAAATGATGGCTAGCATCAGTAATAAAAAGGCAGAAATCCCAGGAACCTGTACTTGGTGACTTGTATCTGGTACCGGGGTCCAGGGAATACTCGATCATAACGATTTCCACCATAGTAGTGGTTGTGAGGTGCCATCAAGTTGACCAAAAATAAAGAAAAGTGTGCATCAGAGTTGTATCCTTTCTCCACACATAGTCAACCTGATGCACTAAGCAAAGCATTCTAGAAGCTGGACTCTGTGTGGATGTGGCAGCAGGATCAGAGGAGCACTCAGCAACCTACACTGTCCAGATGACATAACTTTGCTTGCAGAAAATAAAAACCCGAAGCACTTAGTGCAGAAGGTCAAAGACGACAGCCTTTAATATGGAGTATACCTCAATACCAGGAAACAAAATTCCTCACCGCTGGACCAACTGGCAACACCATGATAGGCAAAGAAAAGACTGAGGTCATTAAGGAAAGATTCCATTTTACTTGGATCCACAAGCAAGACTTATAATAGCAGCAGTCAAGAAATTAAAAGACATACTGCACTGGGCAAATCTGCTGTCAAGGACCTCTTTAAAGTGCTTTAGAGCTGTGTTTAAAGATGTCAGTTTAAAGACTAACATATGCCCACAGTCCAAACCATGATATTGTTAATTGCCTCACATCCACGCGCAGGTTGCACAATGAATAAAGAAGACCCAAGAATCTATGCCTTTGAATTGTGGCGCTGGCACAGAATCTTGACCGCCTTTGAACCGTCAAAGGGGGAAGTACTCCTGTGAGTCAGTAGTGGTGAAACTTCATCTCAGATACTTTGGGCATGTTGCTAGGAGATACTAGACCTTGGGGAAAGACATCATGTCGGGAAAGGGGGAGGGTCAGCACTTTCTTCTCTATCTCTCTCTCTGTATCTCTCTCTCTCCCCCCCCCTTTCCCTCTCTCTCCCCCTCTCCTTCTCCTTCTCCCTCTCACTTTGTATCTGCCTGGCCTTTAGAAGTAAAGTTTAAGTCTGGGGCAAGCGTTAGGGTCTGTAGACCACTGGGGTGTGAGGCCAGCAGAGGAGCTCTACACTCAAGTTCTTACTAAACAGGGCTTTTAAGTGCTTGAGTGGTTAATTAGAGCTAAGGAAGACCCTCAATGAGATGGATTGGGGTAGTGTGTTGGAGACAGTGAGGTTGGCACAGGATAGGGCAGGGTTTAGGGCTCTTGTACATAGGGTCACAATGAGTCACAAGCAACTCGACAACACATAACAACAACAACAAGACCTAGAGTCACAGCTCTTCCATGGAGATGATCAAGCAGGAGCCTACTGGTCACAGGCTGCCCTGCTTTAGAGTCAAGTGTCTGCTATCAGACTTCAGACTTTGAGACAGAACAGTGTCTTAATGTCTCCTATATTATTTTGTGCACAACAAATTTTTCTTGGGAGTAAGTTAAGAAAGGCAATGAAGCTAAAGGCGTCAGAGGAATGAATGACTGCTTGGATTAATAAGGGTAGGCTTCCTGGAGGAGGTGGCCTCCCAGAGGCCATGGAGGAGGAACTTTGTGTGAAGATCATTTGAACTAAGGATTCCTGAAAACTGCTCTTTTAGGACTAGAGTCTCTGCAGCATGTTAGGGGTTAAGGTTGCAGGTACCATCCCTGTCCCCTTTGTTTCCCCTCCTTAGCCCCCCAGTAGTACTACAAGGCAGAACACTTATGAAAAAGAACGCAGAAAGGGCTTACTGTGTAAATTGTACAAAGCTGTATCATGAGGTGAACACTCTGCCAGGACCTCTCTCGGGGCCTCCACATGTCAACTTCTTGACTTCACCAGAACGGGCTCTGCCCTGCAGGAGTCCTCCCCATTCCTTCTGTCTGCGCTCAGCCCTGTCATCTCTGCTCAGTCCTGGCCCAGCCTGACTAGCTCAAACTCCCCACTGGTTGGAGGCAGCTGCACAGCAGCTGCTAAAGGCCTCTCAGGCCAAGAGTCGAGCTGACCTGAAAGGCAAAGACGTCCTTGACCAGGGCCTCCCCAAACACGAAGCTGGAGCCAGCCACGGTGTAGCTCAGGAAGATCTGGAAGAAGAAAGCAAAACAGAACATGTAGATTATAATTACAGACGAAGGGGGCAGGGAAGGCCCAGGTGGAGCTGAGCTGGAGGCCTTGTCTTCCCCACTATGCAGGGCCAAGCCCAGCCCTGGTGTTAGACTTCTATAGAAAAGCTGTATTTAGATCCTGACGTTGGGATGTAACTGCAGGGCAAGTCTCTGCTCTTGCCCAGTCCTTGCTATTGCCATCTATAAAATGGACCACGTCAGCAGGTCAATAACACTCAGTCTTTCTTCTGTGTATCCTCGGCATGGCCAAAAGAGTGCACGCTCCAGACACACTGTTCCACGTTATGTATGCCCACTTAAGAGGATGTGGAAATGCATGATGGGATGAGGGGGGTAGGAACCCTGAGATTGGCTGCTAATCAAAAAGTCAGTGGTTCAAACCCCTCATGGGAGAAAGACATGTGATGGTTGGTCCTAGTAAAAATCACTGCCTTGGAAAACCTATGAGATTGTACAGGACAGTTACAGGTCACCTATAACAGTCACAGGGTCACTGGGGTCAGAATAGACCCAATGACAGGTGTTTCTGTTTTAAGGAGGAAGTTTGTACATGATTAAGTGGTGGCCTAGTGGCAAGAAGCTGCTCTGCATTCCCAAAGGCACTTGGTTCAAGGCCACCAGCTGCTCCATGGGAGAAAGATGGGCAATCTCCTCCTGAGCAATTAACTACCTCTGAAAACCTGCCGGGGGAGTCAGCTATGGGTCAGTTCTGACTCTACGGTACACAACAACAACAACATAATTAAAATCTATGTTTCAAAATGTAAATGACTCGCAACCTTTTTAGAGCTTGTTGTCATTATAATGTTGTTGTTTTTTATCAAACTGGCTCATAGCTGATCTTCCAAGAGAGGGTTTTCAGATGTGGTAGATTGCATGGGAAGAGATTAACTATGTTTCTCCTCTGGAGCAGCTTGTGGATTTGAACCACATGCGTTTGGGATGACAGCATAACTTCTTACCACTAGGCCACCAGCACTCCCTATTGTAAGTTTAGGACTCTATATGACTAGTTTAAGTTTTACAACAATAGTGACTGCTGAGGGCCACATGCCGTGGTGTTCAGGTGCCCCTCTTTGTCCTAGGATTTGCTCCCACACTAGAGCTCTTGGATGGACTGGTCATTAGGGGTTGGTACCAGCCTGAGGACATTGGTAGCTGCACTGCCCGGCCTTCTGCTGTCTGCCTGACTTGACCCTCAGACACCTATCCTTACCCCGTCCCTCCCTGTGACCGCCCACCTCCCCCAGCCTGAGAGGCTCCCACTCCACTCCTTGACAGCCAGCAGGGCCCCGGGTACACACCTGAATCTGGTCACCCAGCCACTGGAACGCAATAAACCCTGGTTCTGTTCTGATGACAAAGAGGCCAAGCACAAACTGCAGCCCAAGGCCCCAGGATACAGCCCTCCAGGACACCTGTACCAATAGGAAGGACCTTGAGGACTCCACAGTGGAGGGGGGGTGGTGAACAGGGGATGCCCTGGCCCCATCTGCAGGGAGGGGTCCAGGCTCAGCCTGATCCCAGGGGCTGCTACCAGTGCTCAGACCCCCACGCTAAGGCCCAGAATAGGCCACACTGTCAGCGGTATGCCCTATACAGTCAGTGTGCCATAACTGGGTGCTGAAATGCCATGCACAGCCCCCTAGGTCATCACTGGGTAGAAGCAGCTGGCATATGGGCTGGGATCTGCACTCTGGACTTGAACACCAGCCTGTCCAGGTCCTAACTTGTCTGGTTCAATGACTTGAGGTCCATCTGCCTGGACTCTTGTCCTCTCTCCTCTAAAACTCAACCCCTCCGCTCCCTTGAGGACCCACCATAGCAGAGAAGAGCTGACACGGAAGAGCTACTGTTCCCTCCTAGCACCTGCCAGTCCCTTCACTGGGAGGCCAAGTGCGGCGTGTGTGGCCACCTCCTAGAGGCTTGGCTGGAGCTTTGAGGAGACTTCAGCCACAATGTGAAACAAGGGCAGGACCTGGCATCAGTTAGGATCAGTGGTGGCTCGAGTAAAGTGAGAGAGAAGGAGCTGAGCACCCCCTAATGCACAGGTGTCTGCACCAACTCACCCCAAGCACCGAGAGGGCTTGTTGAAACAGACTCCTGCTGCAACAGATTATCCTGCGGCATCTGACTCAGGAGACTTTGGCTGGGCCCTGAGATTTGTGTTTATACCAAGTGCCCAAGTGGCACTGCTGCTCTGAGGACCACACTTTGGGAACCACTGATGATTCCAGCTGGATAACAGTTATGTGCTCCGCTGCCAGCACTTTGAACATACTAATCACTCCATCTGCTCCCTGACAAACCCAGTGCCATCAAGTTACTTTTAATTGGTGACCCTCCATCAAGTTTCCAGGGATGTAAACCTTCATGGAAATGGATTGCCTCATCTTTCTCCCAAAAAAGCAGCTCATGGGATTCCCCCCTTTCGCCCCCAGTAAAGATTACAGCCTAGAAAATCCTATAGGGCAGTTTTATTCTCTCCTAGAGACCACCGTGAATCAACTTCACAGCACACAATGACAACATCAAGGGCTCCAAGAAGCCCTTGGCTCTCTGACAGATGTTTGAGGGGCTTCTGAGCCTACAGACCTGAGGACACATCACCAAAGAAACAAATGAAAAATCTCTGTGTTGGGAGAGACTTCCAGGCAGGCTCCCAGGGGCAGCATTTCCTGTCTTCTGGAGATTTGAGGGTTTCTGCTTCGGAGAGGTGATGGGCCAGCCGGCGATCTTCTATATTGACTTAGTCCTGTCCAGACCTTCAGCAGTCTCCCAATGAGCCTACTCCATATGCACTGAGCTTCCCCAAGGGTCCCAGAAGAAGCATCTACCCCCTGCCCCAACTCCCAGCCCACAGGCAGAGCAGCGAAGCTCTCCGCTGCCTTCCAGCCTCACCCTCAGACCCAACACTCACTGCACGGTGATGCTTTGAGAAGGCAAAGAGGAGGATGATGAACATGCAGACTCCTGCGAAGGAGACCAGCTGCTCAGGTCGCCGGGCGGTGTCCAGGATCAACCACAGAACCAGGCCCACCAAAGCAGCGAGGCCCAGAGCCCTGCAGAGGAGGAGCAGAGGGGTGTCACCTACACGGCCCACCCCACGGCACTACCAGGGCTGCAGGGAAGCTCGCTTGGGGCTAGTGAGGTGAGAAGGAAAACAACACAGCAAGAAGGCCAGCATATAGATGAGCTGAGGCCTGGAGTATCTCTGAGGCTGTTTCCTCATTGGTAAAATGGGACCTAGAGCCTATTTTCCAAGGTTGCCAAGAGGATAAACTATGAGGATGTGTGTACAGAGCTCAGCACAGTACCGTGCACGTGGAAAGGCTCCGTCAAGGTTTACAGGATGCTCACAGCTGCAGTGATGCTCTGACCATACAGGCTCAGGTGGGCCTGGGGCCCAGGACTCAGCATTCTGGGATCCAACAGCCCAGAAGCAATAATGGTGGTCTGGAATGGTGGTCTCTGAAAGCTAAGATCGAAGACTGCACCCAGCCTCGCCAGCAACTCTTCCCTCCCTGGGATGAGGAGACAATCTAAAGTGTATGAACAACCCAAGTACGGGTATCAGGTACCCATGGTCTAGTCCCAAGCTGTTTACTAATTCATTGGATACTCACCATAATGGCGAAAGTTCATTGAACACGTAGGGCATGCCAGGCGCATGCCCAGTCCTTCCATGCATCCTCTCATTGAAGTCACACAGTTCCCTGAGCTACGCCCTGATACTACCCCTATTCCAGTGATGAAATGAGGCACAGTGAGACTAAATAACCTATCCAAGAGCATCCAGTTTAGAAAGGGCTCTGGAAGAGTCAAGATCTTAATCCAAGAGATCTTAATGAATTCTGATTGGCATTTGAATGCTTTAACCACAGTAGAGCTCCTTGTAAACAAGTCCATCACTCCCCTAAAGAGCCCTTTCTTCTCATTCTTCCCCTTCTTCCACCAAGATAACAACTGATTTGGCTTTTGGTTGGTTGGTTGAGTTTTGTCACTAGACTTGAATTTCCACAATTTTCTATCTGGAAGCATATAGTGCATCACTGTGGCTGCAAAGTCTCTCAGGCCATGATCACCACGGGGGAAAAGAAAGCTGTCTCCCCTCATTTCCCAAACTTCCTTCACCTCCAGTCCTATAGGCACGTTTTTCGGCCTTGTCTTGTGGATCCGACACAAACGTGTCTTCATGTACCATTTCTCTTCAAGTTGACTCAATTTTTAAAAAACAACAAAGCTTAAATATGTATCTTGTTTTGTTTTTTTAACAGCATTGACCTGCTGCCATAAGAGATTAAGAACTGGGTTGCTAAACACAAATTTGGTGGTTTGAAGCCACCAGAAGCAATGCAGGATAAAGATGAGTCTATATTTATATCCAAGTAAACTTTTGTTAAAAATCACAATTAAATAAATTAAATGTGTTTTTAACAACTTTCAAAGTAGTATCATGAACACAACGGCACGTTTCCATTTTGATAAATGTTAACACCTGAATTCACCTGGAAACCACAACTGAGACAATGTGTGCGTGCAATAAAAAACCCAAACCCACTGTCAAGTCACTTCTGACTTGCAATGACTCACAGGACAGAGTGGAGCCCCACCGGGTTTCCAAGGCTGCAAATGCTGACAGCAGCAGATTGACTCACGGTTCTCCTACAGAACAGCTGGTGGATTTGAACCTTCTGATCAGCATTTGAATGCTTTAACACAGCAGAGCTCCTTGTAAACAAGTCCATCACTCCCCTAAAGAGCCCCTTTCTTCTCGTTCTTCCACCTTCTTCCACCAAGACAACAAGTGATTTGACTTTTGGTTGGTTGGTTGGTTGAGTTTTGTCACCAGATTACTTGAATTTTCCAGAATTTTCTATCTGGAATCATATAGTGCATATTCTTCGCCTCCCCTGACCCTGACTTCTTTCACTTAGCATAGTTGTTTTGAGGTTCTTCTATATTCCTGCGTGCACAAATAGTACATTCTTTCCCCCCATCTTTTCTAAACTTTATTCTAGAGTAACTTAGGGAAAAGTAGTCATTCTGAATAAGCATAATGTATATATGAAGATTTCCCTTTTATCACAATTCAGATTTTGCATAGGTTCAATGCCCCTGTGTCTGATATGACTGCTCTGGGGTAGTTATTGGATATCTTTGACCATCAGTTTCTTCAGCGATAAAACAGACTACTTAAAAGAGAGTGGGAGTCTTTAAATCAGGGGTTTTTTTAAAGCACAGAAACCTCCCCCCACCTCAGAAAAAGACATCATGCTGGGAAAGGTGAGGAGGGTCAGAGAAAGAGAGGAAGACTCCCAACAAGATGGACCTACGGTGGCTGTAACAGTGGGCAGGGGCACATCGGAGATGGCGAGGATGGCACGGGATAAGGCAAGGGTCAGATTTGTTGTTCGCAGAGTTGCTGAGAGTTGTAGTTGACTAGATGGCTCTCCTCCCTAGCCTCTCTCCTGTGCTTTGAATTTCCCAGAGCTCCTAGTAACCCCATTTGTAAAGCAAGATTCCCAAACTGTGACCCAAAGCTGTGACTGCACACATCAGAATCTCCTGGGGGCTAGTAAAAAATAGTAACACTTGGACTCCAACCCATCTGCTGAATCAGACTCCCTGACAATGGTTTGTCCTATAGGTACCCCTAGTGATCTGATGGGAGACACTGATACAGGCCCACCCTGCTGGGATCTCCAGTTTAGGAAGGTGTTGAGTCTTGTTCCCAGAGATGAACCTTAATAACCAGGGCAGAAAATCAGCTAGAAGGTAGCCAAGTGTCATAAAGCATTGCTCATTTTGAAGCCACCCAGAAAATCGTGCTCTGGGCTCCAGACGGCCACGGTGTGGCTTGTGTTCTGCAGGGAGCCCTGTGGGACAGAGCTGAGGACCTCGCCTGGCCTGCCTGGGATCCCTTAGTGGATGCCTCCTGACACGCCTCAGGGCTCGAAGCTCACATACCTCTTGAACCAGATGTTCAGGCAGGAATTTCCAAGAGGCTTGACACATCTCGTCAGCTTTGGCCCCAGCAGCCTCTTTAGCAGGCTGTAGGCCAGGAAGGCAAGGACCACACAGGAGAGGATGAACAGTGCCAGGGCCCTTTGGAAATCCAGGAGGCAGGCAACCAGCAGGAAGGCAGCAAATGCTGGAGTGGGGGTGCAGAGACAGGATTCAGGGGGATGCCAGCTTCTGCAGATCCCTGCAGCCCCTGCCTGGATCCTCCTCACCCCCACCATAGCTGGAGGGCAGCCAACTGACTCTCTAAGCATCAGTTTCCTCATCTGGAAATTAAGAGACACCCCTGCTGTGTCAGACAGGTGTTATGAAATTAACTGACAAGATATGCATGAAAAAGGCTTTGCAAACTGTAAAACATTTCTGAGTTCCTTCTTGGGGACACAGAGATGGACCAGTCCTAAAGGAGTCCCCATATGCATGCCAGGATTTGATTCTGAACTACCAGCCAATGACAGTTTCTTCCTGGGAATATCTTTCCCCTTCTCCCCTTCCATCACCCAGTCAGTTTATGCCCCAAGAAAGGAGGGTGAGAGCAGAAAGCAGAGAGTGAGATGTCTCTCACTGGCTTTTTCATTCCAATATGGGGTAAGGGGATTCTGAGATGAAAGAAAGGGCAGTCAAGCATGAATAAACAATGTGGGAGCGAACTCCAGGCGCCCGTGTCAGCCCCACCGCTGTCCCCAGACAGCTCCCTCATTGAGCTGTTACTCCTTCCAGAGATTTCTGAAGTCCATCCATACCTACACACTTTTCATGATGTACCTTCTTACAGGTACACTGTGGCCCTCAGCCTCCTCCTCCTAGTCCCTCCTGCCATTCCTGGCTGGACCTTGCCACTTCCCTGTTTGAACTTTTGCTCCTGAGGATAAAACCGGAGTCCCTGAGTTTGACCCCTGAACCTTGAGACCAGCCCTTTCAGGTCCCTCCAGCCTCATCCTCTGGGACTCCCTAGAATTTTATAGCTCTAGACTGTTTATCAGAGCCCTGCCCATAACCAAGTGGTTTTCACCTTTACTCCTGTGATTTTTCCTCACAGGATGCCAGTTCTTACTTCTTATTGTCTTTCTCCCCTCTATCTGGCTAACCTTTCCTCCAGGAAGCCCTCCTTGATCATCCCCTAACTTTCCTTACGTGCTTCCAGGTGGCTTATTGAATTATGGGGAAGTACTTTCTACTCCCTCTCTCCTTTACTAATCAGGGAGTCCCTTGGGAACAAGATCCAGCTTTGATCTGGGAGCTGGTCCTGATTGGGTGCTCAGCTTTTGGTGAATGAGTGAGTGACTGGCCGTGTGGGCTGAGACCGAGATGGCTGAGATGTGGTTACTGAAATATGAGCGTCAGGAGCTGGAGTGAGGGGGAGTGCGGTCTCCTGGGCCAGCCAGCGGGGCCCTGGCTCACCAGTGCACAGCAGGCCTGTGCAGATCCACCGGAGCAGCTGTGCGTCCTCCCTGCACAGGCGCTTCGCTCGTGTGACGGGCTGCAGGCTCCTGTGGAAACGTCAGAGCGCCTGTCAGTGACAACTCCCAGACTCCCACCCAGTGGGCACGTTCATTGTCTCCAGGTGAGACCCGCTTAGGTATGTCCCTAAATGACCACATGGAGTGAGCCAGATGCTGGCCTTGACCTCCCACTAGACTGAAGGCTGAGGTTCAGAGGCAATTCCAGCAAACTGGAAGTGACTCAGGCCATCCACGCCTTGGTGCCCCCTGTGCCTGACCCAGCTGCACCTCCTGCCCAGAGAACTGTCCACTGGGGACCCCCCTGCCTCTGGGGTTCATGATGGAATCAACCCAGACAAGAACGGTGCCAACAGCAGGGGCTGCCTCCACTGCCTGTCCTGCAGCCACCTGCCCCAGGAGCCAGCGCTGTGGCCTGAGGCCCATGTCTTCTCAGCCAGTAGCTACCAGTTCTGCACGGAGATCTATCGTCCTTCTCTCAGCTGGAGAGCACATGAGACACCTGGTCCACATCCAGCAGCCCTCAGGGCTCACCCTCTTCAGGGCCCAGGCTGGATGCCAGTCCTCAACTGGCCACTGAGTGGTCACTCTTCTGTCCCTGGAGATAAGGCTGGTGTCTGAGTATCTCTGGGGCCCGCAAGCTGAGCATCTGTCCACTGCTCCCTCACTGAACTTCCTCCACATCAATGGCGGTGGCTGCTCTGAAGAGCCTTCCATTCTTCCCTCTGTTCTCACCACCTTCCCACCAAAAGGAGACTTTCCTGAGGGGGAAGGGTCTTCCTTCCCAATCCTTCTATGCTGAGGCTCACAGAAAGAGTCCCTTGCCCATCTCCCCTGGCCAGTCTGCGCTCCTCAGCTCAGCGGGCCTGTCCAGTGAGGACCTCGAGACCTGGGCTCAGGAGGTTGAGTTCTAGGCTGGCAGTCACTTGTCCCCTGTATGACCTCAATCCAGTCCCTTTTCCTCTTAGAGCTTCAGGAAAGGATCTGGTCCAGCCCGGGGGCTTTCAATCAAGTTCCCTGAGGCTCCTCAGAGACCAAGCAGGAGAGAAGGCAGATGAGCGAGGCTGAGAGGGAGGCTGTCCTGGTTCAGAGCCCTCTACTTCATTTCAGTTAGAGGAGCCCACTATATTTGCTGGGATCCCAGTGGGATCCCATTCTGGCTGCTTAAGAGCAGATCTGGAGCTTCTGGCCTGGCTTGTTTCCAAGGTAACAGGTCCAGAGCTCACTTGGCTGTGGGTGTTGGCGAGAGTACCTTTTCTCCTTTTTTCAACAAAGCTTTAAGCCTCTGTCAGAAGGTCAGTTTCCAGTCGCTGTTCCACACACTGACCCCTTCCCCAGGCCAGCACGTCTTGCTCCCCGAAATCACTTACCATCTGGAGAAGCGCGTGGGTCCTGCCTCACTCCAGCTGCTCACAACCTCTGTAGGGCTCTGGTTGCTTCCAGGGGCCTGGCCTTCCTCCTAGGAGCAAAGGAAGATCAAGGTCAGCCACCAGCCTACACAAAAGGTAGAGTTAAGGACCTGAGGAGGTTAGAGGCTCTGCCACCCCCAGTGCACCTACAGTATGTCCTGAATGGGCCAGGGAGAGGACCAGACTTGTGCACAGGAATTAAATAAAGGACAATGTCATTAAGGTCACTGAGTGTCTACTGTGTGCAAGTCTCTGTGCTGGACACCGTTCCTTCTCACAGAGGGCTCATGGTCTGAGTAAGAGAGGGAAAACCTTGGCTCTGCTGAGGCTGGCTGCTGGGGGCCTGACAGGAAGCTTCTATGGAAGGATCCAGGCAATTCTGGAGACCACATCTACCTCATATTCCACTGAACTGTTTTCCATGGGGTGGCATCCCCTGGGTGGTACAAACAGTTAATACTCTCTCCTGCTAATCAAAAGGTTGGAGGTTCTAGGATACCCAGAGATGTCTCAGAAGAAAGGCCTAGCAATCTACTTCTAAAACTGGAGCTATTGAAACCCTCTGGAGCACAATTCTATTTTAACACGCAAGGCCACCAGGAGTAGGAATAGACTCAACAGCCACTGGCCATCCTGGCCCATCAGAGTGGGAAGGGCACCCCAGGATCAGGTGGTACAATGGCAGGGAGGATGGGGAAGAGGTGACAAATCAGCCTGGCCATTCCTGCATGAGGGCGGGACTGAGAGCTCCTGGAAACTTGGGGCTTCCTAAGCGAACCCCCCTGCCTCCACCATTCATCTTTCTGTATGTCACAGCTCAAATGTCGCTGCCTCGTGAAGCTCTTTCCCACCCCACCAGACGCGGCAGGCTAGATTGGCACATAGTAGGAGCCCAGGAAGTGTTTAATGAGTCAGATAAAAGGGACTCTGTGCCTAGAAGGTAAACACATAGGGTATTCCTAAATATTCACACAAAGGGGTGAGGGGAAGGTCCAAGAGGAGGGACATGAAGGAAGCTGGGGACCAAAGGTCTCTCTGATTAGTGGCTATGTTCAAGGCCGGGAAGCTAATGTGGCGGATGAGGAAGGGAACAGACCATGCTCTCCAGGAACTCAGCCCCCAAGTTCTCCAGACCATTGGCCATGGGCGTGAGAGAGACAGAATCTCTTTGTCTTGGCGAGTCTTCTTCCATGTGTCAGATCTTCCAGCTAAAAGACAAATTCAAGACCCAAAGCTAAAAGGGAGAGGCCAGGGAGGAAGCAGGATAAAGGCCTGAGGAGACAGAGGCAAGGATATCTGAGCCCGGCCCAGGCATCTCCACCGCCTCAGAGCTCCACAGCCCCTGTTCATGGGGGCCTGAGCCCTAGCTCCCTCAGCACACGGAGGGAAGGCTGGAGAGGCATTTCCTCATAAATCCTAGCAGATCAAGCGGAAATAGAGCAAGAAAATAAGAAATTACGTACAGCATGTGCATCTATCTGATAAGCTTGTGTATGTATGTATCGTTTTCTTTCTGAAGAGAAGCCCTAGTAGCATAATTATTAAAATGCTTGGCTGCAACCTCAAAGTTGATACTTTACAGGTTTATTTTCAGTGTTGAGAGGAAATGGGATATATTCTTTTTTAATATATCCAATAACATTTCTTTTAGGTCCGTGAAGATTTACAAATCATGTTGTTTTCTGTGCAATCATTGGTAGATATTTTGCTTAATAGCATTACTTGCCATTAATCAATACAATTCCTAAGTTGCTATCCCAAAGGCAGCACCTCTCTGGAAGCTCAAATACACCAGTGACTCTGAGGTAGGAAGACGGGTAATCTCCTCCGGTGCAATTTACAGTCTCTGAAAACCCACTGGCAGGGCATCGATGAGTCAGTTCCGACTTAATGAGAGCGGAGTGCGATAGCATCAACCCCTGATTGTGCATTACCTTCCCCTTCGCCTAACTTAACTGAAGCAGTAGCCAGCCAGTCCAGGATGCCGTCTGCTTTTGAAAAGACGTACAGCCTTGAGAACCTGCAATCCCAAAGGCACGCAGTTCAAACCCACCAGCTTGTTCTGCTGGAGAAGGACGGGCAGTCTCCTCCAATGTGATTTGTTGCCTCTGAAAACCAACTGGAGGGTTGGCTATGAGTCTGTTCTGAGTCCACGGCACACAACAACAACATTCTACTGTCCTGCAGGGTTGCTATGAGTTGAGATTGACATGACAGCAACAGGGGTGGTGGAGTTTGGGTTTTGTTTAGGCTCCTAGTATTTTCATGGTGCACCTGCTCTATCCAAATTGCAGGCTGGTTGAGCTGACCTGTGAGACGCACGAAAGCACGGGCCCGTGCACCCACACACACATACACATACACATACACATACACACAAGCAGAGCTCAGGAAAGCCCCACCGTCAACAAACACAGACTTTCACCCGCAAAGAGAGAGACAGGGTCATATTTCTACTCACAGATTGTGGGGAACGAGTCACTCTCAGTACAGCCGGAGCAGCACGTTTCTGTGCGCCAGGTGGGGTCTGCCCTGCCGTGCCCTGGTCTGTCCTGTCATCTCAGCAGGGAATCCTGGGCAGAGTACACACGTGTAGTGGGCTGGGCCTTCCACCCGGCTCTGTCAGACACCTCCTCAAATCTAGGGGCCTGATTGTTACTGGAGACCTCAAATCTCTTCAGGAAAGGGGAAAGGTGAGTGTGGAACCCACTATCGGCTTAAATCTGCCCTCAAGCGGAATCTGCCTCCTACCTGTGAGTCCCTCCTCCCGACTCGCACTTCCAAACTGACCACTTCTGGGCCTTGCTGCAGGCCCACCTCTTCCAGGAGGCCCGCCGGTATTATTTTTACTCTTCCCCTCCTATCCTTGGGTTTTTTGTTTGTTGGTTGCTTTTGTTTTTATAAAAAAAAAATTATTTTACATTGGATTGCTTACAAAGTTCATGTACATTGTGTTTCACACTATCTTTTATTCACATTGTGTTTCATGCAATCATTCCCATTCACTGTGTTTTATAACATTAATCACCATTGAACTATACCCACCATTACCCTCCAGATCCTCGCCAGATCTTTCCCATTTCTTTTATCCACCCCTCCCTCCACCCACCAAATTGTGAGACCCTGTGATTACACCCCTGCCTACCTTCACCCCTCTGCTCTCACCCTTCGCCCTTGGATCCTCATACATTTTACTGGTTATCTTTCTATTTCTACAAGTCTTACACAGTATTTGTCCTTATGAGACTGAGTTAGCTCTCCTTGGATTTTTCAAATTGTGCATTATATCTGTCATTTTGCACCTTACCCAGGCTTCCTCTCTTACTGTATCAGAATGATAACAGCAGCCCTTCCTAAGATTGAAAATAAGGCAGAGAAACTGTCAAAAATTGTTAAAGTGTTTCTAATCTAAGTCATGATATAATAAAATATAAAAAACAAAACCACATAACTTCCCCTCCCTTTTTTAGACTAAGACCAAAGTGTGCAAAGTCCAAGGGACAAACCCTTTGGGTTTTCAAGCTTCAAACTAAATGTTAAATTTATCTGAAAGGATTGACCTCATCTCTTTAATAATTAATCACTCAAGTTCAGGGTAAAAGCTTTTATGATGTATAGTACTTCCCAGGAATCTGAGGTGGGGAATTACCTACACATCCTGGTTGTTTTAGAAGCAGAGTTTGAACCAGTTCATTCCAGTTTGACTTCCTACTGAGAATTTGCATTTCTACTCCAGTTAATACTGAATCACAATCTATATTGTAACAAAATCTTTAAGAATTTCTTGAGACCTCTAGTGGCCTAGTGGGTAAGGAGGTGCACTACCAACCCAGAGGCAGAGGTTCAAGCCCACTAGCTGCTATTCCAGAGAAAGGTGGCCAGTCTCCTCTTTGTGTGATTTATAGCCACTGTAAACCTGCTAGAGGGTAGTCTACGAATCAGTTCTGACTCGATGGAGTTGAGTTAAAAAGAATCTATAAGAATCCCTGGGGATCTTTCTACTCACTGAGTCAAAACGGGCGTGTTCATTCAGCATAACTGGGATAAGAAGGCAAATTCTTGTCAGGTAGTCAAACTGGAATGAACTGGGCTGAGACTCTATTTAGACATTTGGAAAAGATGAGGGACAGAGGTCAAGCTATCCTCTCTCACTTTCTTGCTTTTTTCATTTTTAAATTGTGAGTGGAGTGGAAGTTTGTTAAGCAAATTCATTTTTCACTCCACCATTCACACACATCTTTCCCACTATGCAATCACATTTCCCTCCTTTCTCCCTGTAATTCTTCTTTCCATCAGTCCTTCTCTACCTCCCTGGGTCTTCCCTTTCCTTAGTGATGCTGTGCTGGCCATCCCTTTACTGCCCTCTGCTGCGGACTACTCAATCCTTGTAATGTGTTGAGAACAAATGGGTCCAAATGGTTATCACCCAACAGGAAATGAAGCAGCAATAGGTTTGGGACTCACTCACATACATGGGTAGGTTGACAAAATAGAGATACTTGGTCCCACCCTCACAAGGGCCCAAGCTCACCAACCCAAACCCACTGCTGCTGAGTCTGTTTCAACTCCTGGAGACTTTACAGGACAGAGGAGAACTCCGCAATGGACTTCTAACACTGTCATTCTTACTAACACATGCTGCCACATCTTTCTTCCAAGCAGTGACTGGGGGTTCAAACTGTAGACCAAGCACTTAGCCGCCAAACATTTACTTTGCTATACCACCAGGCCTTCTCCAAGGCCACCAGGAAGGAGGAATGTTAGCCAAACCATTCAGAGACCACCAAGTCCAAATATTTAATTGGTTGATCCTTTCTGTCTCCATTGTTTCATTTGTTAGTCTTCCTGCCACTCTATTTCATATTCAGCTTTTGTCTTGAGAGGTTTCCTGTTGTTTGATCCCAATGAAGACGTTCTACATACCAAGCACACACACACACAGCCCATTGCCATTAAGTTGATGCTGGCTCTGGAGATTCAGTGTTGCTTTTGAACTTCCTCCCGTGACTAGCTGTAGCTTGTGCAATGGGTACCAGTTGGAGAACCTGGGAGTTGAAGGCGATGTTGACTGTGGACACACCTCCAGGTCCTTTCACAGAACAGGGCCAGCACCTGGTTATGTCTCTCACACTCCATAAGCAGCCTCTTGCTCCTCTGAGAAGTAGTTTAACATTCTCAGTCACATAACATAGTTGAGTCCTCCTCCTGGAATTCCTGTTAAGGCCGTGGTGGAAACAGATGGGACATCCTGTGCACAAGGGTGGTGGAAGCAACAGAGACTCAGAGACTGATGTGAGAGGCAGAGCTGAGCAGGAGCTGCCTGTTTGTGGAACTGTTATGGCAGGAAATGCAAGATTTAAACACTCAGCCAATACTGGAGATTAATAAGCCTTTTTATTATGTGTAGGTTGAGAATATCAGCTATTGCCCAAACCGTTCTGACCCCGAGGGGAAGCAAAGATTGGGTGTATATGCAGAGATTGTGCCTGGGGGTTACACAAAGTTCACTGTGGTTGGCAGTTGAGATTTCTTCACATTCAGGAGTCATTATTGTTTCTGATTTTTCATGGTGTCAAGGTCCTGGGCAGGTGCAAGATGCAGTCAGGGAGTAGTAACCAAGCTGGGTCAGCATGTAGTACTTAGTAACACATGTTATTGTCAAAATTATTGAGGCATACACTTTAAAAACTGGCTGTCAGAACAAAGTGGCTTCTCTAATGCTAACATAAACATTGGCTTCTCTCATGCTTAGCATATAAGGTACTGTTACATTCCCTCCTCCTGTTTGTACAAACTCAAACCATTGAGTGAGCGTTAGGGTCTTTAATTGCTAGGGGATTATAATACTGAGAGAAGAGCAGAGTTTAATAGCTATGATTAAGGAGCAGCGCTGCAATCTGAAGGCATGAAGTTCAAACCCACCAGCTGCTCTGCATAAGAAAAATGGTCACTCTCTTTCCATGCAATTAACCGCCTCTGAAAACCCACTGGAGGGATCAGCTATGGGTCGGTTCTGACGCAATGGTACACAGCAACAACAGTCTAATCTGTAGGAGGAGGAACAGAAATATTAGGGCTCTTGAGATTATGGTGAGTAAGAAAGTTAACTCAGGATTTCAAATATTTTCTAACTCTATGACTATCTGGATTCTCATTCTGTCATGCTTTGAGGTTATTTTTTTTTTTTTACTT